AAATCATAAAGATTGCTTTAAATATGCTCTCACCATGAGGAAAGATCTGTTTAAAAGAACCTTAATTAATCTAATTAAAAGCTATTTTTTTAAGCTATACAGGAGAAAATAAAATTTAGACCCCCCTTTTTTTAAATTTTCAAGAATGGCAAAAATTAAAAATAAAAATGTGGCCTTGTCTGGTATAACTCAACTCTCAATATAACTTTATGCTGAAAACGATGGGAAAAGTTATGATTAAATGATTGCCATTTAGCAAAAGCTCTTAATTCAGAAAATTTTAAACTTTAAATCAAATAAACAATAAATTAAAAACCAATAAATTAAAAACTAACAGACAGAGCATAAATTCAATAATTTAATTACAATCAAAATACAGATTTAATCCAATGTAAATGACAGTTCTTCCTGTGAATTGTAATTAGATTTATGTATTGTGTAATGCAATGTTTCCTTATAGTGTTTATATTGCATTTATAATTTAATGTGTATTTTAAAATTTAACCATTGTATTGCTACTGCTTACAACTGTTCGTTGTTATATTGTGCTTTAAAACAATGTATACTAATTGTAATATTGTTTTGAAACGCATAAGGTTTCAAGGTCGGGAGTATGCTCAGTAGTGACTAGAAGTTGCCGATAGGAGGCGCTGCTAGCGCGTTATACTCTCGACCTGCACAATCATAATTGAGTATTCTTTGTTCTGTGATTGCTGTAATAGATCTTACAGCTTTGTGATTGAGAATTTGAAATGTTTAGGGGCCAGATTGCTCCTCGACAACTATGAAATGATTAATAAATGCATAATAAAGTAAATATCTTTGTGATGATAATCTTTGTCATTAAAACAAAAGTCAACTAGCTCCTGAGTACAGTTCACAAGGAAAATGAAAGATGGGCATAAAATACATCTCCTACATGCAAAACGAAGACCATTGGTAATGGCAAATTAAAAATTTTAATAGTGAAATGGGAAGTTAAAAATTTGGCTATTAGTAACTATTAAAATAGTAAGCAGGTACAATTAGGTAGTTTATAATTTAAGCAAACGAAAAACAATACAGACAAAAGAAGTGAAAAAGGAGGGGGAGGGAAAAAAACTAAGTTATCACGAGCAGTACAACTCCAAGTAACATTAACACCTTAACTGCCATGAGACTCATTAATGGATAATGATAGGTTTTGATAAGCCTTGTGATCCACTGGTGGGTCATAGCAATGTTCACGTTTGTGACCTCGTGGGTCACCTTTCCTGCAGTTTCATATGGAAAATAAATTTCTTCTACCTTCAAATCAATCTACTCAAATTGGTTCCAAATTACAAAGGTATATAATTTCATAAACGTATTTCTTTGTTACTTGTAAAAATATACAAATTTTTCAAATTTTTGAATTAGTATTCATTTTGTTTTCTTACAAAATGGTTTTAAAAAATATGAATATATGCTGCAGTGTTTTGGAAAGCACAAAGTATTGTTTAAAAGTAAATAAAAACGACATAAAATACCATGTTGTGCCCTATAACATCACATACAGTATAAAGTCTTTAATCCGGACCTCCAAAATCCGGACGTCAAAGCTACAAACTTTCTGCACATGCATAAATGCATAATGCATTTACGCATGTGCATAATATGTTTACGCATGCACATAATACATTTACGCATGTGCGTTTAATGTATAACGGACGGTATAAGCTATGCTAAAATTATCTAATTATCTATTTCAGTTAATATTGGAGATTGCCTTGTTTCTTAATCTTCTAATTGGAACCAGCTTATTATTTTTTGCTGACTGTTAAAGCAATTTTATAAAAAGTAAGCTTAAACTTTCGATTATATCAAAAGGAGTTTCCAATTCTGAAGCTGCCAAAGGATCTACAAAGCGAAAGCTTGTTTTGATGTCCATCAAACAAAAAAGTGGAATTGCTGCAAAAAATGGATAAAGGCATGAAGAAAGTGACCGAGAGGTGATTTGTTTCTCTAACCATTCCAGAATCTATTTATCAATTTCAAACTGCTCTGCCGGGGGGGGGGGAAGACGTCGCGGTGCACAATGAACAGGAAGTTGATCTCACAACACTATCCTCATCTTCAGGGCAGATGCTTTTATTTTATTCGGCTTATAATTCCTTACTAAATGTAGCATTTCATTTCGATGTACTCTGATATGATTTAAATCAATTTCCTCGTTATTATAAATATCACAAATACACATCAAATAGTTTTCTGGTTGCAATTTTCTAATTTCGACTATGTGTAATGTATGCTTTATGCATGCACGCGTTGAAAGAAATGTTTAATAAAGGAAACAAATAAATATTAAGCTTTTTTTTTTTTTTTTTTTTTGCAAATTTTGATACCCTTTAGATCATAATTGCTCTTTATTTTATAAATTACAGTTTCATATTTTTAATTTTATAATTTCTGCATGCCATCTTACCACATTTAAATTGATGATCTATAATCCGGAATCGCCGAAGTCCCGACGAGTCCGGATTGAAGACTTTGTACTGTACTAACCTAAAGTTACTTTTCTTCCAAACTTATGAATTAAAAATATCATGCTCATGCAATTTACCCCGATGGATGTTGGCAATCAATGTGTTAATCGCGGAAAAGTGCTGCTAATGCTGAAATGATAAACTAAGCAGGAAAGAGTGTAAAATGCAGCAAAATGGGCAGAGTTAAAAGTGAAAGCTTCTTTAAGTGAGGAAGAGAATAAAAGTGTGAATTGTGAAATGACTTTTTTTAAAGCTTAAAATGCAGGGATTATTCAAAAATACATACAATAAATTAAAACAGTAGGAAATAAAATAATTGAATAAATTTGTTTTTGATAAGGGACTGTGTATTTCAAAGGTAAGGAATTAGAAAATACAAAGAATAGTAAAAAGTCAACAGAATTCAATCGGGTTGCATTAAGGCTTGGAAATCAAAACTGACCTGCTTTTTAGTTAAAGGGTAAAGGATAGCACGGGATATTCACATATATTACACATCTGGTATTGACCTTCTTTATTTAGGTTTCAGTTAATTCCTTCATTTGTAACATTAAAAACCATATACTTAATGCTAAATTTATATAAAAGATTTTTAACAGTAAAGTTCTAGAATTTCATTTTTCTTTGACTGTGGTTTAGCAATCTTTTTTTGAAATGTTCAAATTTCAGTTTGTTTTAAAATTAAATTTGTTTTTTGATTTTTTAATTGTTTAATTTTGTCATTTTTTATAGTGATGTAATGGATATTTTTAATACTTACATCTATTTTAGAATAAAAATTAGGCACTGCCTATTTGTTATTAATCTATATTTGATTTAAAGCATTTAAATTTTGGTGAATTTATGATTTTGAATTTGACTAAATGGACATTACCACATGATGTTTTCCCACTAATTGGGGAATACAGCCTTGAGTCATACCAAAGAAGGCTACATTTTTATTTTTAAATTTTTGCTGTTCTCAGAATTTAAAAAAAAAAAAAAAAAAAAAAAAAATGTTGTCTGAATTTTATCTTGCCTTGCATAATTTCAAGTGATACCCTTTACTTAGATTAATTAATATTATTTTAAACATGCTTTGTCCCCAATGAAAGTATGTTTAGAGCAATCTTGATTATTCTATCATTAATTTTTCCCATTTATTTTTTATTATATTAAAGAGACTAACAAAAATGTTTCATGGCTTGAAGAATTCTAGATGGATTAAATGTTTATTAATTTTATTCTCATTTGCCACTTAATTATTTTATTAAAAGATATATATAGGTATATAGATAGTTATAGAGGAAGAAAAAGAACTAGGGATGGGATAATTACATGGTTAAAAAATAATACATTAATTAAACAACATACAAAAAAATTCAGTACTTTTTACAATCTGTGCTACCCATACTTTGGAAATGCTGATCCATAACTGGAATAAAATGGACAACTTAAAAGGAAATAGTTTCATTAATTATGATTCAACAAAAAGTGTTATGTGAATCTGTTAAAAAGTATTTTCTATAGGCATGATTTAAAAAAAAATAATGAGTTGTACTTTTACTCATATTTCTACTTTTGATTTTATTGCTGCTCATGAAAACTGGATGAGTTTACAATTTGATGTTATTATATTTGAATTTCATGTAAAGTGAGATTCATGCTCTCCTGACATTATCATTGCTAAGTATAAAAATGACAGAACGGACAAAAGAATGAAGCAGCAGTACCAAAGATGACAAAAATAGCATAACTCTGTCACAGCTTAGTTTTAAGTACATGTCTGCTGCTTTAAATGCATCTAAAATAATATTTAACTTAAGAGCAATTTCAAAGAAAATGGAAAAGCAGCATCTTTAAAACCTCAAGAAACCAAGATAACAAAAGCTTAAAGATAAAAAAAGTAATTACCGTATTTAACGGCATATAAGACACATTGGCATATAAGACGCACCCTTATTTAGACGGGCACACACAAGGAAAAAAAAGTTTCAATAACGTGGTTTCATTTAGTTCTCACGTTTCATAAAAGCCAAATAAACAATTATTGAATGCAATTACCTTCACATATAAGACGCAGGTAACTTTTTTGAGACCAAATTTAGGAAAAAAAGTGTGTCTTATATACCGTCAAATACGGTAATAATAAAAACTTTTTCAATTAAAAAATATTTAATCAAGCTATTAAATGTATGTTTCATAATGATTACATAACCTTTTCATTAGTTTTACATGAAAATCTAGCGGTACCTCAATTCAATTCAGAAAAATGAATAAAAATGGAGTATATTTCATTAACTGAAAGCAGTTCTTTTGTTTAATTTTGATATGCTTTTACTCAGAAATATTAATCAATATGATTTTTCATTAACTCAAAATTCATTTAAAACATCTGGCTCTCAACATTAACATATAAATAAAATTCTTAATTACAATAAAAGTCACTTTAATGCGTAAACTAAATTATACCATAATATTCATGTATAATTTTAGAAATATATATGCAAAACTTACCATTTTGGAGCTACTATACCCTGAAAATAATAATCAAATCATGAGTACTTATAGTTGTAGGATTTTAATAACAAAATATTAAAAATACCTTGATACATATGAACATTAAAAAAAAAAAAAAAGTATTTTAGTCAACATTTAAACAATTTCAGGAAGAAATACTAAACTTATAAAGAATAAAGTTGACAAAGATAACTAAATTTTAAAACTCTTTTGAAAAAATCTGATTTCTCTCAATTCCATAATTACCTATGACTGAAAAGCTGCATCAGAATTATTTAATTCAAGTGTGTTTAGTCCTTCTGCAATTCAACTTGGAATGGCCTTTACAAAATCAAGGTCTAAGATGATAGCAATCTGGTTCATAAGCTTGTGATTCTCAGACGGAATAAGAAGCTTAAAAAAGAAAGACCTACAATAATCTGTTTTTGCCAAGGGAAGTTAGGAGAAAAAGAAAGGCAATGCTCAATTGTTTCTGTGGACATGAGAGAGACTGTGTATTAATTTTTTTAGAACAAACAACCAATGAGAAATTTTTCTACGATATCCTGAAATGGCTGAGAGAAGATTTTTATAATTAAAGATCTGAACTATCCAAGGATGAGAGCTTTTTGTCTCCCCATGACAACCCATCCACATCACAGTGTTCTAAAATAATAGTTTTTGGAGGAATCATAATTCACATGCTAGGCCTGTCATTCCTCTTATTGGTCTCATTTAACACCTTATGACTTTTTTACATTTGACAGACAAAAATACAAATTGCTGAGTCCTTGATTGATTCCATAAAGGGCATTCAAGTTGCACAGCATACTGTGTTAGACTTGTATTAAAAGACTTACAAGCAGCAGTCACGGTGCAAAAGTTAGAATTATTGTACAAAGGCAAAAGAAAGAAGGAGACTTACAAAATTTAATTCAGCTTTGTTCACAAAACCTGACTGACCTTATCCAATGTTTGGTTTGGATCACCTAGCATTTATCTAAGTTAGTGCATACGTACCATATCCCCCTCTTAAAATTTATATTAAAAAAACCTTATGGTCAATAATCTAAACTGAAATTTGATTCCGATAATCCCCCAAATTATTATAGGTGGACAATTATGTAAAGACAGTTAATATAAAAGCTATGATCTAAATTTTAAATCCAAATGCCTTTGAAAAATATCACTTGATAACTCATCTTAAGCATCTGATGAGTTTTTATTAATAATTAATAATTTAGTACAGCATAATTTATTTTCCTTCTACCAAAAACTTCTAATTAACTAGTCTTCTTTCCTCAACAAGTGATAATATTCAAACAGCATATATGGCAGTTTTTTGGCTTATCAGGATCCTATCCTGCAGTCTCATTATGAGGAAACAACTACAGTACAAAGTCCGTGATAAGGACTGGTTGGGACTTCCGCAATTCCAGATTTGGGATTTTTCGGATATTAGATCATCAGTTAAAATCTAGTCAGATGGCATGTAGAAATCATAAAATTAAAAATATGAAATTGTGATTTATGAAATAATGAAGCATTTATGATCTAAAGAGTATCAAAATTCACAAAAGCTTAATATTTATTTGTTTATTTTAAACATTTCTTTCAATGTAAGTTGTTTAAGTTGCTTCATTTTTTGTGCTAATACTTTCTCTTTAATTCTGTAGACAGACAATTTCTGTCTGCAGAACATATCTTGCTCAGCTAAATATTTGAAGTCCTGTAATTGGTGTCTCGAGAATTCCAACTTGTCAATCAAAATGCTTTCGATTTCAGTAACCTCACCATCACTTTCTTCCCTATTGGTAGAGGTATTTTCTGGATCTAGAACCATAATACAAATTTAATTGATTGATGATTGAGCCACATAGTCATCACAATGAAAAACTTCTTTTATATCATCTTCCTTTATTACTGCTTCTCCCCAATTCTTTACAGAATCCGATGATTGGAAAATTTCACCTTTGGTTTGCGATATCCGAAAACATTTAAAATTCATGGCTACTATCATATAATTTAGATATTGTTCCCTATACATATTTGGCGACTAAAGGCGACTATTATACTTATGTCTCTTTCTTACACATGCTTAAGGCTTATGCGAGTCCTGAATAAATAAATTCCCAGATATACTTAAAGCTTATGAAGGGCTGGCGCTAGATATTTTACCACCTGATGCAGTCTCTGCAAGTCCTAAATTCTGCTACCAAGCGTCTTTCTTTGTTTTCCATAAATTCTGCCGCCCGTTGCGACCATACGAGCCCTGGTGCTGGTTTTGGGTTTATGTGAATAACAAATAAATTATTCTTAATTCAAAGAGACTTAAAATTCAACCAACAAGACAATTGGAAGAATTGTCCTGTTGGTTAAATGTAATATTTTGGCCAACGGGTATCATTAACAAAATCTTTTTTTAGCACATGGAAAGAAATTGTTCCTCGTTAACATATCTTAGCACCTCTAACTTATATATGTAATCATCGCCAAGCATAATGTCAACATAAAAGGTTACCATACTCTTTGTCATTCAATTACTAACATAAAAAAATTGTTCAGGCATCTCTATATGAGTCATTACTTAAGTTGTCATGTGCAGCTAAACATGTGGTGATGAAAGCAAAATATAACAGTAATTCGCCACTTTATAAAGAATAAAGTGGACAAAGATTGGCATCAGGGATATAAAATATTAGTAGGTGTAAATTCAATGATGTATCTATGTAGAATGTTTTGGTTTGAGATGTATGCCAAGCAGGCAACTGGGAAGCCACAGAGCCAAATTATTGATCATACAAATTTATGCTAAAATGATTGTTTCTTCAACAGCAAGGTATTTTATTTAGTGCAGAAGTGAAATTAAGAATTGGGACTCTCCACATGTTTTATTATGTGAGGGGTGGGAATAAAATGCACATGCATAAAGCATACAAAAAGAAAAAAATTGTTCATGGCTTTGAGGTCCAGATTTTAGATCATTCCTGATATTGAACATCCGAATCTCGGGCTTTGTACTGTATAAAGAAAATGCACTTCTTAGTTTTCTTTAAAAAAGTCATTTTAAGTACAGTTTCTCTAATTAGAATTTTCTGTAGCTCTCAACATGAACGAAAATTGCAACAAAGTTTGTGCTCAGGCTATTTAAAGGATGCAGAAAAGATTTAATGAAAAACGATGATTTCAGATAACAGAAAATATGATCCTATGAAGCATAAAATACATCAAAGGGAAGAGCAAAACATGCTAAATAAGTAAAACAAACCTATAACAAAGTAATTAAAAGCTCATTTCTGCATTTTGAGATAACAAAAAGATAATTTTATTTATCTTTTTAATGGCATATGTACAAATTTTAATGGAATTCTGCTTACTAGTGCAACTGTGAAGAATTTTGAATAAGATTATATTAATTAATTAGAGTACCCCTGTATAACAGAAAGGGGAAACATAAATTTTATGGTTAAGTAGATAACTTACCCATAAAATTTAATGGTATAACTTATTCAGAGAAAATGCTAAAAATATATATATAAAAAAGAAAATTACAGCAAAGATATGATTTGTAAAGTAGAAAAAGCTAAAATTTACATTAAGATACATTATCATTCTCAAACAAGGATGAATTTACAGAAAGGACTAATAAAGCCCTGCTTATGAATATGAAATTAATATATGTTCAGGAAATATACATTAATAGCATATTTTTGTAAAAGTAATACAATATTTTACAAAATACATAACATACCAGCATAGTTTCATTTAAACCAATAGTGGCTCTAGTCTTCACCATAATGCTGTGGTCACAACTGAGAGTTAACATACAACCACCAGCAGGAGAGTGACCCTGTTATTAAAAAAAAAAAAAAAAAAAAAAAAAAAAAAAAGAATACATGCATTTTACATCATATAATAACCACATTTAATTTTCAAACTTAGAAGTATTACAGCTTTATGCAATATTCTCAGATATGATGAAAATAAAAAATAAAATATTAAATTCAATTAATGATAAATAGAAAAAATAATAAATTTAACTATGAGACAGAAAATTAAAATAAAAATAAAGCAAATAAAAGGTGCATTAATCCTTAAAAGAATCAATTAGCATTTTAGAAGTTAATTTTAAATAATGTTTTATTAACACCTAACAACAACATACAGGAAAATGATAAAACTCAAAATGGAATTACATCAAAAAAGTTTTTTAAAGTTCAGAGAATGAGTTCAAACAATCACATTTCACTTCTGCAGGTTGCGTGCGTTGAACTGAGTATTTTTCTCTATATCATCAGTAGAGTGCATTGCCGACGATATTCATTTGTTGCAGTCTTCCCCCTGGCTACAAAGACATCTCGGTTATTCGCCAGAGGAAGAATTGTCTTGTTGGTTCTTTTGCGCAGCATTTCTTAGAAATGTTCTCTCTTGGTCTCCATTTCCAAGTGGAGTGCTTCTTTGTGACATTACTCAGTGTCTTGAGATCTCTTCAAAATTAGGAATGTAGCGTCGATACCAGCTGCAAATCTGAGGGACACTGTGTATTTGCTTCACATTCTTTGGTGAAGGAATTTGTTGAATGACTTTTACTTTGGCAAGGTCTACTTCAATTGCAGAACTTGTGATATAATGTCCGAGATATTTCATTTTAGAATAAGCAAAATGACAATTGTTTCGATTGGTATGAAGCTTGAGTTTGAAGAGTCGATCAAACACTAAGCGCAAGTCTTCGAGATGCTTCTCAAAGTAGAAGACATCACAATAATACCGTCACAATAAGTAAGAGTGTTGACCCTTAACCCATTCCGGAAAATATCCATTAATCTTCGGAAAGTGGCTGGTGCTGTCTTGAATCCAAAAGGCGTCCTTGTGAATTTATAGGTTCCAAACTGACATACGAAGGCAGTTTTGTCTTTGTCTGGAGGATACATCTGAACTTGGTGATACCCTGATTTTAAGTCTATAGTAGACATGTATCTGGCTTGCTTTGCAGTATGAAGAAATCCATCCATACAACGCAGTGGGCATGGATCAGATTTATTCACAGAATTCAGTTTGCTGTAGTCAACACATAACCGAGTCACTGTTCAGCTTGGGAACTAAAACAACAGGTGCTGCATATGGTGAATCACATTCTTTGATTATGCCTGATGCAGGAAGTGCATTAATTTCTTTCTTCAAAATCTCCTTTCTTGCTGGAGATAGTCTGTAAGGGGTTGTAGCCACTGGAGGTGAATCACCTGTACCAATTCAGTGCTCGATGCAAGGAGCTGGTACACGAAAAGTAAATATTTTGATCAGTATTCTTTCGGCTAATAAAATGGCTTCCTTTTATTTATTTATTCTTTTTTTAAAATCTGTTTAAAACAGTGGTTCCTATGAGCTCCCAGCGTTTCTTATGACTGCTGAAAGGGTGTATGGCAAATTAAAACTAATTTAGGGATATATAGACACTGTTCGGTGGTCTGTGAATGGTTTATACAAAATACAATAATTGTTGCTCATTTTCATTATTATGAAAGTAATAAATAAACTGAATATGAAAGTAATAAATAAATACAGCAATAAATAAACTGAAAGTAATTTTTTACATCACAAGGAAAAAAATAATAGTAAATAAACTGGAAGTGCCTTTTTTGCATGAGTAAAATAAAACAAACTGTGTTCTTTTTACTTCTTTGTACGAAGTAAAAAGGAAGTATTGTAATCGCAAAAAGTTTCAGGCAGCATATTTCAATGAAAATATCCATTTTGGGCTGCTATCGAATGCAATTTAACAATGTTTTTGTGTGACATCTCTACGTAAGGAAAGAATAAAGGACTCTTTTCCCCCAAAAAAATTATAAAACTGCTTTAAAATAAATTTTGAAGAGAATTTTTCGTGGTGTCTGTACATACATATGTATCTCGCATAACTCAAAAAGGAGTAGCCTCAGAACGTTGAAATTTTGTATATAGGACTACTATAACATTTAGATGTGCACCTCGTATTTTGGTTGCAATCAGCTGCACCAAATGTATATAAATATATTTATATATATATATCCACTCTGTTATCCGGCTCAGTGATCTCAGTTTCTTTACTCTTATATGTTTGTAAATTGTGCATTTTTTGTTTTAAAAATTATTGAATTATGTTGTTCTTATTTTCCGGTTTAACGTTTTTATGCTTTAGGAAATCTGCAAGCATTTGTAGAATTATCAATAATTTAAAAGCTAATTAAGAAGTCAAACAACAAAATTGAGCGCTATATTTTCAAATTTTAACAGGACTAGTTTCGATGGTTTTACCGAACCATCGAAAATAGTCCTGTTAAAATTTGAAAATATAATGCTGATTTTTGTTGTTTGACTTCTGAATTAGTATTTGTTTGGCATGTTATTGTGTCTTAATTAATTTAAAAGCTGTTTAGCTGCGGTTAAGTTTAACATTTAAATAACATGGCAGACATGTTTGTTTACATTTGAAACAGCAGAATAGTAGATTTGTTGCCAATCTAGAGAGACTTTGCTTTGCAACAACAAAAATGATGCCTTCATTTATTATTGTAAATTAAATCCTGCTTAATCCTTTCTGGAATTTGTTCGAGGAAATAAGTGTTTAAGATTTACTTTGTAATTTTTAATACAGATATTTTGAGTTTTTATGTATTTTTGCTTTGTTGCGAAGTGAGAACTGAATTAATTGAATGAGAAATACTGAACCATCTGTGAAAAACTGTTTCTTTTTTGTTTTGTTCGCTTAATTTCTTTTATACATCATTCTAGATTTATTACAGTATTTGAATAGAACATGTGGCAACGATTAGATAATTCTTCAAATGATATAGATTTTGTGCATTCTAAGTTATAGTATGAACGAAATACATAGACTCCAACCTTCAGCAAACCTTGTCAGTAGTCAACACGCGAACGACATTTTTACAACTTTGAAAATGTGCGCGTAGCGTATGTTGTAATTAACCATTCATTAATTTTAATTAAATAATTAATTGTATCAATTTTATTACATTTAAAATCCATAACATATATAAAAACTGAATAATTAAAAATATACCTTGTAAATTATATGCACATTTAATTAGAAATTTTCTTTAACTCCTCAAGCATTCACTAATAAAAAGTACTTCAAATCACTACTAATCATAGAAAAAAATCAGAAGCTATAAATCATATCTTTATTCTGGATATGATTTCTACAGGGAAATAAAATTTAAATAACCAAGAATTATACATATAAGTATTAAACAAAATGCATAATTTATGAATGCAAAGATTATATGTAGCATGCTTAGCAAGCTTAAGTTCTGATTTTTTTCTTTTTTGAGAATGTTTTTTTATAACACAGTTCTTCATTTGCCTGCATATTTATTTTTTCAATCAAAACTGCTTCAAGAGTTTTAAGACCTTAAATTTGGTCGAAATTCCGTCTGATTTTTTTTAACAATAGAAAAAATTCTTTCGCAAGCTGCATTTGAATGAGGTATTATTAAGACAGCAAGCATTACAGAAGGCAATACTTTGTATTTAATACACACCATTCATATTTTTTAATTGGCAATTTCTCCCCTGCTATATCAATACGCAAATCTACAATTTCTTTCAAATCATCTACTTGATACATGGAAAATTCAATTTCTACTTGATTAAGACATTTTCATAATAATGGATGGAAAAGTATTCATCAAGTAAAGAACAGATGAAATGAGACTTCAGTTCTCAAGTTGATGTCAGCAACTTCAGCATGTTTTAGAAATGGATCACTCGTGGAAATTTATCAATTATATGAACATGCAGTTACAGAAAAAGCTCGCACAGAATTGAAAAATGATTTCACTTCACTTTCATTCAACTTGGCATTTTTTAAATATAGTCTTGTTTCCGCACCAATCACTACATTTTCATTTTCTTTTTGTTTACTATACTTCTGAAATGGAATAGACGTTAGAGTAACATCTTCATTTTCTTTAGAAATTACTGATGGTTTTACGATCTAACAAATAAATTCATTAAAAGTTCAAAAAGTTTCTCTTCTCAATTTATGTATATAAGGAGCTTGTTGTTGCAAATTAATATTTACTGTTATAAACAAAGGAAAGTATTTTTCAAAATAACAAGTACAATTTGGTGGTCGGTGACTGTAAAATTTTTTTAATGTTTTGCAATCTCTTTCCTTAATTCTCACTGTTATCTGGTTTATCTCCAAAAAAATTTATCACAGCATCCCACTGTTCCAAAATCCTTGTTATAGATTCTAAAAGAGACAACCATCTCGTACTGCAATATTTCAAAATTTTATGAGATTTTGCATTCTGTCCCAAAATTTGTTGAGCAACTTTGAAGCTATGCTTCCGTTTCGAACTTTTCTCCAAGTAAATATATTTGGTGGTCGTGTGTGCTTAATGCATGATATAATTAAAGAAAATAAGAGTAGACAATCTCCTATAACAAAAGAATATATTAAGTACTAAGTTACAATTTAAATTACATTGAAGAGATCAACACGGAGCTCGGAACACAGTTCGTGCTAGCGTCGCGTACAGTTGTGTGACGAGAAGTCTGAGTGAGTAATGACGTCGCTTTGCTGCTCCGATTAAGAACTGGATTTTACATGTGGTGCCATCTCGTGAATAGAAGTTGAAGTATCTGTCGGAACGCCACATATATATATCTATTATCAACATATCAATTTCTGAGCCAATTAATTTTTCAGTAGCTTTTTTTGCAGCTATATGCAAGAGGTGGCACGGACAACCTCGGGTGATTATACTTGGTTGATGCATTTTGATAAATGATGCACACCTTTAAAACTTTCCAATCATATTACTAGCATTATCTGAAGAAAATGAT